ATTTGTGCATCGTGGTACGTTATTTTAGACGTTTTCGTAACGGGTACCAATGTAAAATAGGCAAAAGTTAAACGAAGATGGAGACGTATCTGCTGCATGTTAGTTTTACTTTTATTTTTACCTCTTAACACTTACTTTACGTACTGTCACCTCCACTTCCTTTCTTTCTTCGTTCATCTTCCATCGGAAAGTCACATATTCGTTCAAAACATGGCGGACTGGAGGCACTGTACTGATGATTCCCACCCCATTCCGCACCAACTCTGCCGTCTGTGTTTACAGTTTAGGGATGAAAATACAGACCGGACAACAGCTAATGCACATACAGGCTCTCTTATCTGGGTATCTGGAATTAGCACTCACTGCTTTCCCACAACTGACAATATTCGACTGTGTCCCATTCATCGGCTGGCCTACAGTGCCAAAACAAACTTTCATAGTTTACATTTTTCAAAAATTTCCAAAACACAAAATTTCCAAAAATTTCCAAAACACTTTCCAAAGGTGTAAGAAAATGTGCTTTGCCTGAGCTTGTGTAGTTGCAGATGAACAATGCCTAGGGCTACCAAATACGCACATCTTCGGATGATCAATACAGTTGCTGCGCACTTTTATAATTGTTAATTAATACTCAAATTATTTGAGCAGTAATTGCATTACTCATACTGTTATCTATTGCACTTCAATCAGTTAGGCTTCCAAGTTCACATTTAGCTTCCCTACAGGTCCTCCTCACATCTCCTCAACTTTTTATAAAAAACATATGCGTTTCACTATCTATTTCATTTCCTCATTTCGTGGTCTTACGGCCATTCATTCCAAGGGCATCCTGGTTGCTGCAATCTGCTTATTTTAACACTTAAGTTAGCGGTTGTTTTCATCATCGTGTTTCTTCTCGCCATTGATGTAACTCGTAACAACTTCTCCATTCTTCTCTGTTTTAGGGTATCTCTCATTCACACAGTTCCATGTACTCTTCCATCAGATTCTTCCACCACATTGGCGATCTTCGCTGCGTTCTTCCAAATATCTTTTGAGTACCGTTCAATAATCCGCTCTGTCCATCTGTTGCCGCTCATTCTTGCCCAAAATGACCAGCCCAACTCTTCTTCCTGGTGTACACACTGCTCTGATAATATCGCTCACGCCCGATCCAAGCCACAATACCTCGTCCAGCTACGTTAGTACCGCTATTTA